CCCACTGACGATATGCATATGTGTTTATCTTGTCATGCAATGTCATAGGTTCCCAGGTAACTTCTTCGTGCACACTTCATTTCACTTCAGCCTTCTCCTGGCCTCTGCTTTACCATCTCTGTCACTCCACCAGCAGCTTGAAACCTCTGTCTCTAGCATTCCCCTCTCTACTTTGATTTTACCATATTCTTCACATAGACCCCATGCATCCTCCCAATCCATAACCTTCCTAGCCCCTCCTTCCACATGTACTTGGTGCTAAAACCACACATAAACAAAAGATTTGAAACTAGGGACCTCGTATGAGAAAGGCCATTCATTATTTCTCTTTTTGGCCATGGGTGATCCCACTCAGTAGAATTTGTCTAATTCTATCCCTTTTTCCTGAAATTTTCATGGTTTCACTTTTTTTTTAATACAGGCGAGTAGTACAAAATTGTGTGTGTGTGTGTGTCACATTTTCATTATCTCTTCATAAGTTGATGGGTAACTAGTTTGATTCTAATTCATAGCTATTCTCCATAGAGCTGCAATGAACATGGATATATAATTATCTCTATAATATGATATAGAGTTCTCTGCATATATGCCCAGAAGTGGTATAACTAGGTCACATGGTATTTCTAATTCAAATAGTTAAAAATTTATTTGTTTTTATGTATATAAGTGTTTTACCTGAATGTATGCCCATGTACCTCTTATATGTAGAGTTCTTGGAGGCCAAAAGTAGGTGTTATATCCTCTAGAACTGGAGTTACATATAGTTGTGAGATATCATGTAGGTTCTGGGAATAGAACTGGGTCCTCGCAAAAGTAGCCTTTTCTCTTAACTGCTGAAGCCATCTCTTCAGCTCTATAGATATTTGGTTTTTAGAGAAACGTATAGACTGTTTTCCAGAAAGGCTAAACTACTTTACATTCCCACCAGCAGTATGCAAAGGTTGCCTGTGACTCACATCCGTGCCACTATTTGTTGGCATTCGTATTCCTTTTGAAGACCATGTTGACTGGGTAGAGATGGACTCTTAATGTAGTTTCAGAGGGCAGACTAGTGAAGCTAGAATCTTACCTCTCTCACTTTGCACGAAACTCAACTCCAAATGGTTCAAGAACCTCACCATGCAGACCATTTGACCAGCTAAGCAGGTTGGCTAAGAGCAGATCTTCACATGTACCTTCATTCCTCCATGTCCAATCCCCCATTCTAATGCCCAGCTCTGTAGCAGACCTTCTGCTGTGGCTTCTCCTCACTGTCTGCACTGTGTCTGAGGAAACTGAACAGATCCTATGGAACACCTGCTCTCCTCCCTCCTGTGGACTCCCTCAGCACTTCCCCCCTTCTATCACACCTCCAGTCTTAAGTTCCAACTCCCAATACCTAGACATACTTTTTTCTGGAAGTCCCAGTGCATGGCTTATCCCAGAGGCATTTCAGTCCAGGGAAAACATAGCCAGCACAGAATGCTAAAACTGGAGAGGGCAACAGAACCCAAGGAACAACACAGTCACCCAACAAGCACAAGACCAGTATCAGCACCTAGAATTACAATCTTCCTAAACCAAGATGCCTAGACTCCAGTGTAAAAAAAAAAAAAAAGAAAAAAGAAATTCACAACAGCTAGTACAATGTCTCCACTACAGCACAGCTATCCCACCACAACAGGCCCTGACCAGCGCAACATGGCTGAAGCATAAGAAAAAGACCTTAAAATAGCCTTTATGCTAGTGATACAAATCTTTAAAAAAGAGATAAGTAAAGCCTTTAAACATCTATGAAAAAAGCCAGCAGAAGAAAATTAATAAAACAGTTTAAGACATGAAAATGGAAATAGAATCAGTAAAGAAAACCCAAACAAAAGTAAATATGGAAATGCCAAATTAGAAACTCAAACCTTACCTCAGAGACAAGGCTCACCATGACAGTACAAGATGTAAAAGAAAGAATCTAGTCCATTGAAGACACAATAGAAGAAATGGATACGTAGGTCAAAGGAAATGTTATATCTAAAACTCTTGGCACAAAACATCCATGAAATCTGGGACAATATGAAAATACCAATGTAAGAATAGTAGGAATAGAATAGGAACAGAAACTCAAGGTCAAAAGCACAGAAATAATTTCAAGAAACTGAGAGAAGAAAAATTCTTGCCCTCAAGAACAGGTGTATTGTGTGTGAACATCATGAATTAAAACTGGATATCCTCAAAAACAGAAACAGCAGAAAGCTTGCAGTCTGGTTACACCTTGCCTTCTACTCATTTTGAGTGAGATATTTTCTTTTTGTCCCAGGCATGTTGCCATGTCACTAGGATTGAGATCTCTCTAAGTTTTTTATCTAAGCACTTCCTGTTATGAATGTGCCTCACTTTCAGTCATAAGAGTGTTGGTTCCAATGGCGGCCCAAGGAAGATGTCAGGCCCCTGGACTTGAAGTAACAGGCACTTGGGAGCCACATGACTTGGTATCAAGAGCAGCAAACACTCTTGACCACAGAGCTATCTCTCTAAACCCTAGACAAAATTTTACTATCATTTGTTTTCTTATTCTTGGCTATTCTGACTTGTAAAAAAAAAAATGAACTCACAAATGGATCTGAGTAATGGGCTGTTGCCTCATCTTTAATCCTTAAGATTTCCTATCCAGCCCTATACAAAGTTCCTGTGCTCAAACCCACCTGGAGCCTTCTCCTACCTTGAAGTCATGTTCTTTACCATTGGGGCACGAGCTTAGAATAGATAGAGCAAACTGAAGGCAATATCTTTGTGGAAAAGGCAGGTGGGAAGTACTGAGTAGCCCTGAATAGCTTTGAATTCTCAGAAGACCAGCTTCCTCAAGTGGCTGACAGTAAGGCTTTACACCAGAACTTCCCTAAAGTATTTTATTAAATAATGCAGAGGAGGCAGAGTGAGAACAGTTTGCCATTCAGAGACCTTATTACCAAAAGTAATAAACTGTCCAGTGGGATCATTGATAGTCATAGGGTGCTGCCCATGACCACTTTAGACTTGGTGTTGCAGAGGGGAGCAATGTTAAGTACAGGCTTAGGTGACTGTGTATTCTAATAGCAGCAGGCTTCTTTATGAGGACAGCTAGAAACATCAGAAGTACAGAATGATGAGTATACCTTGGGTTTATGGATTCCTGCGTGGCAGCATTGGGACACTAGCTCCTTATGGAGATCTGCAGAGCCCCAAGTGAAGGTTCCCCTGGGGCTGTGTGGCCCAGTCTGGAACAGCAATGGCCATCTCCAAGTGCACCTGAAGTTTGCACCCCACAGGCAGCCTTGAGCCCCATGTCCCCCATTCTTCTGTGCTACTGATGAAGCTGCTTCCTTACAATCCTCCACACTTGGGTGAGTCCGTGGAACTGCACCTGCACAGATGTTAAAGAGCTGGCGGGTTGGTGATGCTGAGTCCAGACTGTGCTGTGAAGGGTCTTCCGTGTGGTTTCCCTTCTCCTCCTCTTCTTCTGTTTGTGCTCATGTGGATTGATTCCCCTCATCACCTATCATTTCCTTCCTCTCTCCTCTGCTCCCCTCCCTCAGCTGGTTACCCTTCCAGAATTGAGTCTTATGCTTTCTGATGTTAGAGAAGTGATGTAGCTAGGCTGAGAGAGGAAGTATATAGGCGTGAGTACACAGGAAGCAGCTCTCTCTGGCTGAGGATTTCCTAGAGGTAAGATTGGCTGGTTTGCTCTCTGATCTTTCAGCTTTCACCCCAATACCTGGCTCTGGGTTTTTTTTTATTATTATTATTAATAATACAGTTTAGAAATTCGTCGTACGCTGGTCTACAGAGCAAGTTCCAGTACAGGCTCCAAAGTTACAAAGAGAAACCGTGTCTTGAAAAAAAAACAAAACAACAACAAAAAAGATGGGCAACAATGCCCTCGAGGGGTGGCCTTCTTAAGGACCTTTTGGAAAATTTGGGGTGGGCATCCTCATGGCACCAGCTAGAAGTACAGGCCACTCAGATCTGTATGGCCCTGGTTACAGCAAGGCCCTTGAACACCAGCATGGTCCCAGGTGGCTGACCAGCCCCTGGGCAACCACACAGCCCTGGGTTGCAATAGAACCACAGATGTCAACTCAGTCCCTGGCTGCTGTAGAGCTGTAGACCATGCCAGACATGGTCCCCTCGGCAGCAGCTCGGACCTGGATGACACCATGGCCCGAATGGGCAATTGGAATTGTACTTGTTACTCCTTGTTTCACACACTGTAGAAAGGATTGGGATACAGAAAGGATTGGGAGTGTGAATTCTGTAGCAAATAATTTCCAGGATTTCAGTCCTTGGAAAAAATATTAATACTTTATCTCTTCTTTAGCCTTCAGATAGTTGGTTTTCTCATCAGTGTAATTTCTGATCACTGGGAAAGATTTGGAAAGTTCATATGAGAGAAAGACAAGTGTGCTTTCCACCTGCTGGAGAAAATGTGTTTTATTTGAATGCTAACTTGGGGGTACAGTACATTCATAATGTATTTATTACCCTGTAACTTGCTATGTTGACCAGGTTAGCCTTGAACTTAAAGAACACTTGCATCTGCATCTTTTTTTTTTCTTCTGGGATTAAAGGCTTGCCACCTGAACATCCCAGACTCCTTGGGTATATGGGTGCTGGTTCATGTCTGGCTACTTCCTGAGGGAATGGGACGACATGCAGAGGGGAATTTGGAGGAGTCAGTGGTCTCATGCTCAGCAAAAGGTATGAGGAGACTGGGAGAAGAGATCAAAAAACCACATGGCCGTTTTCTAGGGGTCAGTTTAAATACCCTGTTGGTGTGGTCTTGAGCATCTCTTGGGGAGGAGCTGCTATTTTGTGGGTTCTCTGAGACAGGGCAGGGTTGAGAGAGAGAGATGGGTGAGGGGGGCTGAAGTGGAGCTTCCACCTGAACAGAAACCTTTTAAACATGTTTATTTATGGGAATTGTCTATATACACTATATATATATTTAAAAAATATATATTTTAATGACATATAGCCCTACAGTCCCAGCACACCCAGCTCTTAATTTTGTGTATCTTTTGTTTTTGTTTTTTATTACCAACTGAGTTGAGGTAGTGCTGTCCAAATGTGTGTGATCATCCATAGGGCGTGGGCAACATACTTACTGGTGGGCACATTCCTGAAGAAAAATGAGTGTCCATCCTCCCAAAGCCTTCGGTTGCCAATACCTTCTTACCGAGGGATGGCCTTCTTCAAGGCCAATCCCATTCTGCCCATGTTTTGACTGACATGATTCAAAGTGTTTGGGAAATTTTAGAATTTGATACCTGCATTGTAGAGTATTTTTGATGACATCGAGTTCGTTTCAGTAAGAGTACTTTTTTTACCCTGTGTCTTTGTCCATTGTTTTTCTTTGAAACTACAATGTTCATATTTAATATAGACAATTGTTATTGTGTAACAGATATAGGATTAACTCAACAAAAAATCAGTTGTTTCCAACTGATACCATTCTAATTGACACAGGAAGGAAAAGAAAGCAAAAGCAGAAAGAAAAGCAATCACTTCATGTAAGTTTCAAGTGACTGGAGATGTATGGCAGAAATTTACATTTTGTAAGCCTTTTTAACTATACATGACATTCCCTATTGTTGACTAATTTAAAAAATATCCAGGCCCAATTACTTAAAAGGCAAAATTGTAACAATAGGCAAAGAAATAAATATTATTGTAGAACATTCCTTTTGACAAGTTTGGCTTATTGCACATGCACTTCAAACACTTCACTGCAAATCAGCCTATGTCCCATATGGTACTTGAAGACAAAAAAGAGTTCCTACGGAATTACTAAAAGAACTAACTTGTTGCTATTTTTAAAGCAGATATTGATACAGCCCACTAAAGATGATTGTTCCAATATGGATAACCACATGTTGCTAGGTTCATTGTTCAAAGAAGACTGTGTGCAGGGCCAGCGCCAAGCAGCGTTCCAGATTGCTCTGTTATCCCCATGTTACCTGCTTCACTGTTGTTCCAGGACACGGTATTGAACTTATCAATTCCAACTGCTCCCTCCAATTAAAAATTTATCTCTTTACATTCATTTCCTCTACCAAAGTACTCCACAATCTTTACATTCAGGTTCACTTCTAGTTCTCTGAAGTAGGGCAGGATGAATCATATTCTTGACTATAATAGCCCTCACTCTAGTTCTTGACTCAGTCCTTGTTCCCACTGAACCATTTCTTTCAGCATTTTTCTCTTTGAAGCATCTATCAAAATGATTCATTAAGGTTTTTTGTTCAGTGTTTTGTTTTGTTTTGTTTTGTTTTCCTGAAGAAAATGTTCTGGCCAATTCCTTCACATTCTTTCTAAGCATGTTCTAAATGCTTAGAATGACCACAGAGAACCTGGTCAGATTTACTCTGGTCCCACTTTATTTATTTATTTATTTATTTATTTATTTATTTATTTATTTATTTATTTATTTATATCTATTTCTTATATTAGGCTTTCCATCTGGCTAGCATAAATGATTCTGAGAAAAAATGACTTCAGGCAAAAAGAGTTTATTTCGTGTCACAATTTAAAGGGTACACTCCTTAAACTGCAAGCCCATGAAGTGTCTGGTCAAATTACACAATCAGGAACAGAGTGATGTGTAGTTGTCTGTGTCTCCGCTCCCTCCTTCCACTAATGTAGTTCCTATACAGTTCACAAAATGCTGCCTCTAAAATTGGTGTGTGCATTGTTTTGAAAGTGACTAAACTCCATAGACACATATATTTGAAAGCTTGGTCACTAGTTAGTGGAACTCTTTGGAAAATATTAGGAGATGTGGCCGTATTGTTGGAGGTTTGTCAATGGGGATAGTCTTTGAGGTTTTAAAAGCACATGCCAGGCACAGTGTCTTTTTGCCTGCTACCTTTGGATACAAAGTAAAACATTCAGCTACCATTCCACCTCCATGCCTGTCTGCTTCCCTCTAAATGTGTAAGCAAGCCATTGATACATGCTTTCTTCTATAAGAGTTGCTTGGTCATGATGTCTCCTATGGCAATTGAAGAGTAACTAAGATAGTGGGTCTTTCTATATTATATCAAGTAATCAAGAATGCATCCCACAGATATTCTTTAGTTAACCGTATGTACAGAATTACTTAGAGGTGTCTTCAGAAACATATATGCTAGATGATTCTGTATCCTGTCAGTATGTCAGTTAAAACTAACCATCCTAATATATGCACTCTTAGGAGCCAGTGACCTTTGAGGATGTGGCTGTGAAGTTCACCTCAGGAGAGTGGGCTTTGTTGGATTCTAGTCAAAAGAAGCTCTACAGAGATGTGATGAAGGAAACATTTTTGAACTTGATCTCCATAGGTAAAAAAAAAAAAATGCTCCAGTTGCTTATTCAGTCAGAGAAAAATTGTGTCCTGCTTATGTGTGTAGTGTGGTTTGGATTCTTGAAGGGAATGTTTGGTGAACTTAGTGTGAATACCCATGTCATTAAAACTAGATTGTAATCATTTTTTACATTGAAAATGAGTATGTCATAATGAATTCTCTTGATTTTCCTTCTAGAGAAAGCACTAGAAGAAAACATTGAAGAGGACTATAAAAATTTCAGCAGAAATCTGGGGTAATTTATATTCAATAGAAAATAATTTATGTCAAATATTTGGGAATCATGGGACAATTGAGAACCTACCAAATGGTCCAACTATTTCTAATGGAAAAAATGATTCTAGACAAACTCCTGTAATGGAGCATTGATTTGCGTCATTCAGTATTTGAGTATCTCATCTCTGTAATCTAATAATACCACAAATATGTCATGTAACATTAAGCTCTGGAAGAGCTTTTCCAGTGGTTTATTTCACAAAAAACTTCCCCTCATATCTAAAAGTATTTACTATCATTCTGTATATTCTTCTGAGGCTTTGAGCATGGGCTATGTTTTGTTTACATTCTTTTCCTATGACAAAAAACAACTCTGGGGTGAGTTCCGTACTTCCTTGTCACAGTCCCTTCGTAAAGGGAAACCAGGGCAGGAACTCAAGCCTGACAGGAATCTGGAGGCAGGAACTGAAGCAGAGGTGATGAAGAAATGCTGTTTACTGGAGTGCCCCTCATTGCTGAGTCAGCTACCAACCTAATTCAACCCTGACCCATATCTCTAGTGGGTCACCACCCACAGTGGGCTGGGCCACTCCAGCTCAATCATTGATCAAGAAAATGGGCCCACAGGCATGCCTAATGTCAATTTGATGAAGCTGTTGTCTCCTTTTTGGTTTCTTCTTCTCAGATGTGTGTCTGAGTTTGTGTCAAGTTAACTGAAACTCACCAGCAGATACCTTTCCTACAAAGCTCATGCATTCCTACCTACACGCACACCACCCAACACGGCAAAAGCCCTCATTAATCAGGAATGTGAAAGTGCTTCCACTGATGTGCTTCCAGGTTAATCTGATTGAGCCATTTTCTCAATGGAGGGTCTCTAGTCTCCAATGACCTTAGCTGTGGGAGAGTTGATAACCAACCAACACAGCCTGAGAATTTAGAATGCTACAGTGTCTTACAAATTTATGTGATGTTATTGTTGTCTACTAACACCAAGACTTCTGCCTTCATGTTCACTCCTTTTATGTCTCTTGATTATTTTATATGTATATATGTGAGCTTGTGAACACCATCTGTGCAAAAAACATTTGTGGAAGGCAGAAGAGGGCAACAGATCCTTCAGATAAAGAGTAACAGGAATGTGTGAGCCCTGCTCATGAATGCTAGTCATCAATCTCTGGTCTGCTGGAAGAACAAGACTTGTTAAAACCTCCAAGCCTTTGATACAGCTCCTTCATAATTCTTACAGAAGTAAAGTCAACACTCTACCCTTTTTCATATGAAAGGGTCTTTTTTGTTTGTTTGTTTGTTTTTTATTTTTGTTTTTTGAGACAGGGTTTCTCTGTGTACCTTTGGAGCCTGTCCTGGAACTCACTCTGTAGCCCAGGCTGGCCTCAAACTCACAGAGATTCACCTACCTCTGCCTCCCGAGTGCTGGGATTAAAGGCGTGCGCCACCACCACCCCGCATGAAAGGGTCTTTACGTGTGGTCCATGTTGTCCTTAACATTGCAGCATTCTCTTGTGGCCTTTGAGATAGCATAGTTGTAGTAATCAAGACAAGCCAAACTCCAACATTTCCCTTGACTATAGTAATGCTCTTCTCATTTTTTGCAGAACCCAGATGGTTGAGAAAGACTGTGGTTATGAATTTGATAGTCAGCACAATGAAAACCAGGACCCTATTCGAGAGAACATGGTCAATAAAGATATACCTCTTGCAATAAGCGTTCATGAAAGCCCATTGTATGTAAGAAATGTCATTGGTCATTTATTCTCAGATGGGTATCTCCGTGACCAAACTAGAGGGAAATGGTCTGAATATATGGAAGCTGTGGCAAAAGCTTTGACACATCAGAAACACTGGAAATATATCACTCATTCTGAATCACTTCAGGCACTTGAAAGTTCTCCAAAAGAGAAACTCTGTAAAAATCAGCAATGTAATGAAGCCTGTAGGAATCTCCCTTTTGGTCAGCCTCAGGAGAGAACTCACCCTGGAGATAAACTCAATGAAAACATCTTAAGATGTTACACATATGATCAGAATTATGAAGGAATCCATAAAGAAATGAAAACATTTGTATGTAAGCTCTGTAAAGAATCCTTCATTGATTACAGTGACCTTATCAACCATGAAAAAAGTTGTATTGGAGAGAAAAGGTACATTTGTAAGCAGTGTGGGAAAACATTTAAAGATGCAAAATGCTTTGAGAAACATAGAGTAACTCACAAAGGAAAGAAGCCGTACACTTGTAAGTATTGTGGGAAAGTCTTCACCAGTTCTGCTTATTGTAACATTCATGAAAGGATTCACACTGGAGAGAAGCCTTATGCATGTATGCATTGTGGAACAGCATTTAGTCGCTCCAGTCATCTGAACCTTCATGAAAGGAGTCACACTGGAGTGAAGCCTTATGCATGTAAGCATTGTGGAAAAACCTTCAGCAGCTCCGGTAGCCGTAACAGACATGAAAGGAGTCACACTGGAGAGAAGCCTTATGCATGTAAGCATTGTGGAAAAGCCTTTTCATGCTCCTCTCATCTGCACATTCATGAAAGGAGTCACACTGGAGAGAAGCCTTATGCATGTAAGCATTGTTCGAAAGCCTTTACCCAGTCCGGTCATCTGAATCTCCATGAAAGGACTCATACTGGAGAGAAGCCTTATGCATGTAAGCATTGTGGAAAAGGCTTTTCCTCCTCCAGTCATCTGAACATTCATGAAAAGACTCACACTGGAGAAAAGCTGTATACATGTAAGCATTGTGGAAAAGCCTTTATCCAATCTAGGCATATGATTCTTCATGAAAGGAGTCACACTGGAGAGAAGCCTTATGCATGTAAGCATTGTGCAAAAACCTTCACCCAATCCAGTCATCTGAATCTTCATGAAAGGATTCATACTGGAGAGAAGCCTTATGCATGTAAGCATTGTGGAAAAGCTTTTATCCAATCCAGGCATATGATTCTTCATGAAAGGAGTCACACTGGAGAGAAGCCTTATGCATGTAAGCATTGTGGAAAAGCCTTCAGTGACTCCAGTAGTCGTAACAGACATGAAAGGAGTCACACTAGTCAGTAGCCTCAAGTTTGTAAGCACTGTGGAAAAGTCTTCACTAGTTCCAGTTGGCACAAGAGTTATAAAAACATTCACACTGGAGAGAAACCCTTCATTTGTGAACATTTAGGAAACTGTTTCTTTGCTCTTTTTTGATACTTTATCAAGCATCAAAAAAATCTCACATTAGAAAGGAACTTTAATCAATTTTAGCATTGTGAGAACATTTTCACCACTTCCAGTTTCTGTAACCTTCATGCAAGCATTTACACTGGGAAGAAGTCAGCATTGTGTAAAGTAATCACCAGGTCCTGTTGCCATGTTCTAGAGAAAATGTTCTCTAGAATTCACCCTGAAGACAAGCATTACATATGTAACCATGTGGAAAAGACTTTAACATTTATAGTCCTATTATACTAAAAAAAAATGTTCCCACTGATGAAAGCTTTTATGTTTGTAATAAACATGGGAAATAATTTATAATTTTTATAAACCTTGTCCTTTTAAGGAGTATGTTTCTGTATTTCTGTGTTTTATATCTCTACATAAACCCATAATGATCTCACATTGAAAAGATGTGTAGTGTGTAGAACTTGTATGAGTACTAACTGTGTGCCACTGCACTGGTCAAATTGCCTGTATTGTGAGGTATGAAAGAAGAATGTCATTGGACCATGAGATTCATCAGCTAGTAATGATACTTGTTAGGAAACATGATTATCTCCGTTACCACTCTGGATCTTACATGGTGGAAACAGAACCAAAAGTCTCTTGACAGTCACACGCATGCTTCTTAATGAACACACACAGACATACAGATGAGTTAAAAAAATGTTAAAAGAGTGAAGACATAACTAACAATTTTTTTTAATGTGGAAAAAATCAGATTGTGAGACCTGCTAAAGTGCAATTTTTAACTTCCAATGTTTGCTCTTTTTTTTTTTTTTTTAGGATGAAAACCAGATGCATTATGTATAATAATACCTGTCTCCTGTTTTAACTCTTCGTAGGACAGTAGGTTTGAAAACTACTGAGTGAGAGTGGCCCAATAGGCTTATAAGTTTGAAACTTCGTTCTCAGGCTCTACCTTCACAGACTCTAACCCTCTGTAACTGCAAGCATGATATTACCCTTCAGTTTAAAAGTGGCTTTACACTCTGGGTGTGCTGGAGCACACCTTTATTCATGGCACATGTGAGGCAGACACAAGTATATCTCCATGTTCAAGGCCAGCCTAGTCTACAAAGAGTACTAGGACAGACAGGACTATACAGAGAAACACTCTCAAAAAAAAAAAAAAAAACAAAAAAACAAACAAACAAACAAAAAACAGCAACAACAAAAAACCTCAAACAACAAAAAAACCAAACACACGTAAAGAAGCCTGGCATTGTGGCACCTGCCTTTAATTGCAGTACTCCAGAGGCAGAGGTATATAGATCTCTGTGAGTTTAAGGCCATCCTAGTCTATAAATTGAATTCCAGAACAGCCAGGGCTATTACACAGAGAAACCTTGTCTCAAAAAAAAAAAAAGTTGCTTTATTATTTGTGATTTATCACAGCTATATAATAGAAACTCATCCAGCCATCTTGGGAAATCAGATCCAGTCAAAAGAAATTTTCATTGCAAAACTATAAAAAATCTGGCTATCATTTTAAATGAGATAAATATTGTGAAACTTTCCATAAACTTTAATATTAGAAATAAATAGTTGTGGAAGTTAGCCCCCAAATTTTAGGAATGAATAGCCAGAAGTACAGTCAAATTTTGTGTATTTTTATTATTGACTCATTCCTATGCAGAAGTTTTACTTTGCCTTATGTTTTTATTAACAATGCAAGATATGGTTTCTGTGTTTACTCCAGGTTATCTTTCAGTCTAAAGATTTGAAGCTAGCAGCTGGAAATGAAAAAAGAAATTTATCTTTCTTTTTCCTTTTCTTTTTTTTTTTTTTTTTTTTTTTTGGTTTTTCGAGACAGGGTTTCTCTGTGTAGCTTTGCACCTTTCCTGGAACTCCATAGCCCAGGCTTGCCTCAAACTCACAGAGATCCTCCTGGCTCTGTCTCCCAAGTGCTGGGATTAAAGGCGTGCGCTACCACCGCCTGGCGAAATTTATCTTTTTTAGTGTGAGTTTGCACCCTTGTTTTTTAGTTTTTTCCATCTATCAAACCATTTTCTGATTTAATATTTCTTTCTACCTAAATAGTATTCTATTGGTAATTTGGGAAGAGGCTAGAGAGGGGACTTACTGGATATGAGAACTTTTAGGGGGGAAATGGAAACTGAGGAAGAGATACAGGAGAAGGACAAGAGCAAATACCAGTTTTGTTCAGTAATGCTCAACAAGTGGTTATTTTGCACATAAAATTATATATAATGCATAGTTTGAATAATATATAACATCTATTATTTTATATATAATTAACATATACAATTATATAATTCAAGTGTAAAGGTTATGCATACACTCAAGGATATATACGTGTGTGTGTGTGTGTGTGTGTGTGTGTGTGTGTGTGTGTGTGTGTGTGTTAAATGAAGTTATGCCACATGGCTTGACAGTACCTTTCCCTAAGTACCCTACCTTACCAGTACCATACATGATAAATCTCCATTTGAGTTGTTCATGATAATTCCCCAATAATTTAGGCTGTTACTATTTCCTTTGATCATCTCTGCAAGGTTCAAGGTAAGTTGTATTTGCTGGAACCCTCGCACACTTTGGATGCAGGAGGACTTGGAAGAGCTGAGCTTAATCTAATGACAAAAACCACCTTCATTTAGCCTTTCATAGGAAGAGATACAGTACAAGCTGCCAAGTTACAGAAGCAATTAGTCACAAGCTGTCCCCAACTGTGACTTATGTTGTGGTTTGAATAAGAATGGTCCCCATAGGCACCTGTATTTGAATGCTTGGTTAATAGTGGATAGAATTCTTGGGAAGGACTAGAAGATATGGCCTAGATGGACAGAGTGTTGCTGGGATGGCTTTGAGATTTCAATGTTCACTTTGTTCCAAGTTAGATCTTTCTCTTCCTCCAACATTTAAATCACGATATAAGCTCTTAGATTTTGTATAACATTGCTATTCTTGTCTGCCTACTACCATGTTGCATACCATGATAATTATGGACTCTAACCTGTGGAACCTTGAGTGTCCAGAAGTGATTTTTTTCATAAGTTGTTTTGGTCATGAACTCTCTTCACAGCAGTGAGAAAGTAATGAAGAACTTAATGAACCCAAACAGTGATCACCCTGGCAAGAGATCAGTAAAGGTGCAATAGTATAATCCATATCTTGTTGATAAACAGCTACTGTATAGATTTAAGGCCTACCCAATGGGGGAAGTCATGTGTGGTACTAGAAACCTAACTAATGAACCAGGATAGTGAGATCATGGATTTTAGAGAATCTACTTCCACACTTTACTAAGCAGCATAATTCCTGAATTTTAAAATCTTATCTTTATATTCACAGAAACATAACCCATACCTTCCATTAAACAAACTCTTTAGAGCAAACAGACAATTCTAGGAAACCACAACTGGTTATAATGCAGAGACCAACTGATAATCAGGATCCCAGGCCCACTTAATACATCTGTAGAAGAAAGCCTGGACCTGAATCTCAGGGAACATCCTCAAAGACTGGCATGATTGTAAGAACCAGACTGCTAGGATGTTTTGGGTAAAGTTGTTTTTAAAAATAACAGAAGCAATATGTATGATACTTCGGCAATATGGCTGCAGAAACAAGAACAATGGTAATATAGATAGGGAAGGAAGAGATCTCATGGGATACCACCCCTAGACAAAGAACTACAGGCAACTAATGAGAGAAAGAGAAGTATCTCCCAGGTATGAGTCTTCTAATTGCTTACAGAGTTATCAAATCTAAAATCATACACACCCAAGCAACAAAAACAGTGTCAGGAAGTAATCATATATTTGGGAAGTTATAAATATATATATGTGTAGGGAGCCGCCATTCTAAAATGGCGCTGGCTTCCTAGTAGCCTAGCTGTAAACAACTCCATATTTGGCTATGATGCCTGAGTATGGTAATTGGCCTTATGTCCTCAGCCTATCCCGTGGCTCCCCGTGCTAGCATTCTGGCGGGACCCAATCACAGTACGGCACGTTTGCCTGATTCCCT